GACATACGTTGTCAAGATCACCACAACAAATTTTGATTGTGGTGATCGTTCTTCGTTTAACCTTTAATCGGACTCGCCGCTGCACTGAGCGTCGCAAAATTTGATTTTCTGAAAATTCATTAATAGTGCAGGTCTTTTTTTCATTATTGACGGTTTTCCTCATTTAGCGCAATTGTATTTTTCCTATGAGATGGCTAGCCTTTAATCCACAGAAATTAGTATGACACGTTTTTTTGCAACACGAAGTGACGCGTGCGCTTCAAAACGTAAGTAAAATCTTGCTTATATGAATAATTGTAATAATACAAGATGTTGAACCGTTCTTCACATTTTAATATATTGGGTCATCTAAAAAGTATCCGCGGTTTTTTGTCACTAGATGGTGTTAATGGTCATATATCGGGGAACACTAATCCAATTATGTCAAACGAATGATCAAGCGTCTGAAAGATGATATTTTAGGTTACATTTTTTGTAAACAAAGTTTGGTGATTCATCAATCGTGTCAAAAGTTATATTGGTTTGAAAATGAGTGAAATATCTGAAGAAATACGCTATGTGATGCTTTTTTACTACAAAAAAGGCAAAAACGCAGTACAAACATGCAGACAAATTTGTGAAGTTTACGGATGCTGTAAGTGAACGCAGGACGCAGGAGGTTTGTTCGATTTCGTTCTGGAAATTTTGATGTCAAAGATCGACCTCGCTCTGGTCGGCCAGTCACTGAAAAAGTCGATGAAATTTTGCAACTGGTCAAGCAAGACCGGCATGTGAGCTGTCAGGAAGCCAATGCACTAAGAATCAACCATATGACAGTTTGGAATCATTTGAAAAAGGCTGGCTACGCAAAGAAACTCGATGTTTGGGTGCCACATGAATTAACGCAAAGAAATTTGATTGATCGAATTTCCATCAGCGAAACACTACTAAAACGCAACGAAATCGACCCATTTCTGAAGCAAATCATCACAGGTGATGAAAAATGGGTGAAATACAAGAATATTGTTCGTAAAAGATCATGGAATAAGCGCGGCGAACCACCACAAACGACTTCAAAGCCTGGATTGATGGCAAATAAGGTGATGCTGTGTGTATGGTGGGATTGGAAGGGAGTCATTCATCATGAGGTGTTACCACATGACCTAACGATTAATTCAGAGCTCTACTGTTCACAACTGGATAGATTACAGGAAGCGATTAAGGAAAAACGATCAGAATTGATTAACAGAAAAGGTGTTGTCTTCCATCATGACAACGCCAGACCACACACATCTTTGATGACGCGTCAAAAATTGAGGGAGCTTGGTTGGGAAGTTTTGATGCATCCATCGTATAGCCCGGACCTTGCATCGTCTGACTACCATTTCGATCTTTGCAGAACTCTCTTGATGGAAAAACATTGGCCGACAAAAGAGCTGCCGAAAATCATTTGAAAAAGTTTTTCGCCGATAAACCACAAAAGTTCTACACGAATGGAATTATGAAATTATCCGAAAAATGGCAAAAGGTTATAGATAATAATGGCCAATATATACTTGATTAAAATTGATTTTCAATAAAGAAAAATGTCATTCAAAAATTGAACAAAAAATCGCGGATATTTTTTAGATGACCCAATATTTTTACTCATATTAATGATTAATATCTCTTTAGGATAGAGTTAGGTTAAGTTATGTTGTAAATAAATTATGCATAATTATTATTAATTTATAATTACTATTTTTATGTTTTAAAAAGTTCATTTTATTTTTTATGATGATTTTCTATATCATATATTCTTAAAGATAATATCTTGCAAAAAACCAGCTAACGAATATAGAGCTGTGTTGATTGAAGAAACAATAATTCTAAAGAGAACGCCTTTCTTGTGTATTTTTTGTAAAGCATATGCCAAGATGGAATCACTTGACCGAAAACTCCACAATTCTTTATGCGAAATTAGACATGTCAATATCAAGCAAAAATACCGACTATATATTTAGATATTTTAAAATTATTTATATTTATTCCGAATGAATAGACATTACATCGAATATATTGCACAAATAAATTTAAAAAAATTCCCAAATTTTAAAACTTACGAACAAAGATCTGTGATATTTGATCGTTTGATGTAGAAAAGGAGGCCGTTTATTTATAGTCCCAATCAATATTAAACAATAAGTGAAACTCCTTATTTTATGTCTCAATAACTAATCATTAGCCCTTAAATCTAAAATAAAAACAAAAGTTAAGAAATATAATTGGTGAAAAATGTATTTAATGATCATTTTTTTTATAAACTCGACACCACTTATACTACTGACCGCTCCTACATCTAATTGGCATATTTTGTTGGATCTAAAAGTATTAAGTGTATAACTTTGCTTCGGCCGTTTTTTTCCGAAATTCGAGGTTTTATTGTAAAAAACTGGTTATACATTTATGATTCAAAGTATTGTCCATCGCTGGCCATTACTTTCTCCCATCTTTCGGGCAGCGTACGAATCCCGCGTCGAAAAAACTGGTCATTTTTTGAGGCGATCCACGAATCGATCCAATTTTTTACTTTTTCATAGGATCGGAAGTGCTACTTCATATTAAATTCATGAGGTGTATAGGCAATATACAAGCTATAATAGATTCTCTATTTCCGATTTTGCTCTTTTTGTTTTTTCTTTTTCTTTTCATGACGTAAATCACTGGCAAGAGGGTCCTGTAGCGATAATTTTATCACCACGATTATTATATAGGAAAAGATGCGAATTTCCAAGAAACGCATATTGTTGCCCGACACACAGGCCGTTTATGCACACATACAATGTTGCTTATACACACAACGTTTCGGTGGAATAGACATTTAAATGCTTCTGCTATTTTTTATGACAGTTCGCATCAATTTCTTTTCTCGCAATGTATCGCAAGTCAGAACGAAATGCATATATTAAATTATGTAGCTATAAATCATATTTTTGTAATTAGGATTTTCCGTGATTTGAAGAAACTTATTTGAATGTAACGAAAAATATAATTAAACTGTAACCTGCGTAAAAACAATATTTTTACGAGAAATTCTCCTAACGGCATATACCACAATGTGTGTGTATATTTATAATATTTAATATGTGTATATATATATATATATATATATATATATATACAGGGTCCGCCAAAATGATCTCCCACATTTTAATCTTTAATAAAAACGCCATTGTAAATGCTATTTAGATTTTATTTTTATTAACTGAAAATTTATGCTATG